CAAGACACGGAAGAAACAGCAAAGGGATAACGAAAGCGGACAAATACATTGTGTCCGCATAACGGGCACACAAAAAAAAAAGGGGGAAAACAACAACAACAAAAACCCCGCAAAGAGGAGGAGAGCAAGCAACGGGACCATTAGCGGGACATTTCCAGCAACGGGAAATGAATGCGCTATATAAGTGGAGACGTGGGAGATGGTCGGCCTATTCGAAATCAACACGCAGCCGCAAGCATCATCAAGCATGTCATCAAGCGCATCTATAGTTATTTCGTCCGACGACAGCGACATCGAAATAGTCGGCAATCCTTCGTGGAACGCCAAGAAGGCAAGATCAGAGTGGATGGTCCGGCGGGCAGCAGGAAGAGGAGGATGCATCCCGGTCGGGTCCTTCGAGGTGGAGCGGCGGCGCAGGAGCGAGGACCTGGTCCTGCGCCTGCGAGCGGAGTGGGACAGTCGGCGGCTGTCCCTGATGAAGGCGACGGAGAACATGGCGAGGGCCCGCGTCAAGGTGATTGCCCAAATGCGGAGGAGGAACGCGAAGGAGGCCAGGCAGCGGCGCATCGACGGACGCCAGAGGGCAATGGTCAGGGCGAGGGCGAGAACGGCACGGCAGCGGCGGATCCGGAAGATAGTGGAGACTGCGAGGAGGAGGGCCGCCGCCGGAAGGGTGCGACAGGCCAGGAAATGGAAGAGGAAGATACCGCCGACGCCACGCCCCAGACCGGAGAGGCCGGAGGAGAAGCCGTGCAGGGCGACCTCGAGCTGGAGGAGGGTCCGGGCGTCGACGCCGTGGCCCGCGGTGCCCCCGACACCATGTCCACAGGAGAAAAAGGAGGAGCAGCCGTTGGAGAAGGGGCCGTGGGTGTGGCCAGAGCCGCGGAGGCCTGCGCTGGGCCGGCTGGCCGGTGCTGGAGCGGCAGGCATCGGTCGGAGGCGGGCGAGATGTGCCGGAAGACAATTGGCCGCCGGAGCTTGCCGCAAGGGTGAAGGCGGAGATGACCAAGCGGCGAGGCAAACCCGGAAGATGGTGCATCTTGGTACAGGTTGGTGCCACGTGCTTCCGGGTGCGAGGAGGCGGTAGAGGAGTAAGGGTGGTGAGGAGAAGTTGAATGAAAAAAAATAGAAGTAAAAAAATTAAAAAAAAAAAAAAGAACAAAAAAAAAAAAAAAATAATTAAATAATACATGAATAATAAAAAAAAAAAATAAAAAAAAAAGGGGGAAAAAAAAACATGAAATATATCGGATTTAAAAAAAGGGGGGGGGGCAAAAGTTAGTATTAAAAAAATAAAAAAAAAAAAAAGGTTAGTCTTTAAAAAAAATAAATAAAAAAAAAAAAAAAAAAATAAATAAAAAAAAAAAAATAAAAATAAAAAAAAAAAATATATATATATAGGGTAGGAATAAAGGGTTTTAAGAGAAAAAAAAAAAAAAAAAAAAAAAAAAAAATTAAATTAATTAAACAAAAAAAAAGAAATAAATTCAAAGTAAAAAAAAAAAAAAAAAAAAAATAATAAATATAGGGTAGGAAAAAGGGTTTTAAAAAAAAAAATAAAAAAAAAAGTAATAATAGGGTTAGCATAGTTAGTATTTGGAAAAAAAATGAATAATAGGCTTAGCATAGTTATTATTAAAAAAAAAAAAAAAAAAAAAATAATAATTAAAGTATATATATATAGGGTTAGTAGTAAAAATCTAAAAAAAAAAAAGAGAGAAGAAAACAAAAAAAAGGGGGAAAAGGAAAAGGAAAAAAAAAAACCAAAAACGACCGAACAACGCCAGCGATAGGGGGAAGCCATCGGCCGTCTTCCGAAGGAGGGGGGAAGTGGATGGGCATCCACACCACAAAAGTGGATGGGCATCCACACCAAAGAGAAGAGCGATCAGGCACAGTTTTTTTTCGGTGAGCTGAGAGTGGCGAAGTTTTCGTTACATTGGCAAGTGTCTCTGTCGTTCCCGAAGAAGGGGGGAAGTGTGAGGAGAATTCGCCTCCTCACACGCTAAGACAGCAATAGCCAATCAGTTTAGGGGGCCGCGGGAGATAGGCTGATGACCAATACGAACGGGGAGGGGTAGGGTTCACCATCAAGGGCGAAGACAGAATCGAGGTGGAACGTAACGGTTCCCGGAGCAGCAGTAGACGAATGGAAGGACAGGGTTACAGCGCCCAGTGGGAAGACGGAATCAACGTGGAACGTAACGGTTCCCGGAGCACCAGCAGACAAATGGAAATGCAAGGTTACATCGTCCAGTGGGAAGACGGAATCAACGTGGAACGTAACGGTTCCCGGAGCACCAGCAGACAAATGGAAATGCAAGGTTACATCGTCCAGTGGGAAGACGGAATCAACGTGGAACGTAACGGTTCCCGGAGCCCCAGCAGACAAATGGAAATGCAAGGTTACATTGCCCAGTGGGAAGACGGAATCAACGTGGAACGTAACGGTCCCCGGAGCACCAGTGGACGAATGGGAAGGCAGTGAGGGCAGTGAGAGGCAGAGCTCCATCATCGAGTGGAAGACGGGTCAACGTGGAACGTAACGGCTCCCGAGGCGACGGTGGGCACATGAGCCCGCCGCGCAGCGGAGTTCAGGATGGGCGACATGACTGGGAGCAGCAAAGGAGCAAGGAGCAACAGGGGAGGCGGAGGAGGCCAGCGTCACGTCGCATAGCAACAGCAGGGGTCAGTGGCCGAACGGAAAAGGGCAACGGCCGCACGGATGGCCACCTGTCAGCAGGAAAAAGGAGTAACGGCAGCCCGCCAACGGGAAAGTGGCGTGATCTTGGAAACAGGAGTAACGGCAGCTCGCCAACGGGAAAGTGGCGTGATTCTGGAAGCAGGATTAACGGCAGGAGCAGAGGCCAGGAGGATTAACGGGCGCTCCAGTCAGTATAAAAGAAGGCCCACTGGAGCGGCTCGCGACGAGTCTTTTTAGGAAGCTTGTAGCGTTGAGTTGGAGGACCGCCTGTGGAGAGTCCGCCAGTCAAGTGTTAGAGCGTTTCTAAAAAGGATTCGGTTGTTTGAGTTGAAAGACCGCCTTTGGAGAGTCCGACAGCCAAACGTAAGGAGAACGAACGAGACAAGGAAAGAACGGTACGAGGACAGTTACGGGGAACGACCTAGGCGACAGGAGACGAGTTGGACCAGTTCCTGGCCACGGCAGGTAGCCTTGCTAGGAAGTGCAGAAAGGATAAGTCTGGCGTACGCCATTCGGACTCCTGACTCACAACCAACAGGCGTGGTCCTGCACCGGAAAGGACAGGCCGACTCAAGATCCCGAGCCCGGTTTCGCTCCGGAGGACGAGAAGGACAGGACGAGAGAGGATCGGCGTCGGTTGGTTTCCTCGAAAGCTACAGGGTAACAGAGTCGAGCGTGGGCTATTCCAAGTCAAAGCAGGTAGCCTTGCAAGGAAGTGAGGAAAGAACAAGTCTGGCGTACGCCACGCGGGTTCTTGACTCGCAACCAACAGGCGTGGTCCTGCAGGACGCGGATAAGCCAACTCGGGAACTCACGCCCGCTTTGGAACGCGATCGGGGAGGCCCCGGTCACCCACCAAGCAGCTCTTGACCCGGGCCCATTGGCGCGTACGCGCGGTGGTCACCCGGCCGAAAGAGTGACGTACGGTCCTGGACAGGCGACTTCCGACCCTGTCGGAGACTGACAAGACTTCGGCAACTCCCAATCCAGGCCCGCCGGTGCGAAAAGGCACGGCGTCTCCTGGCGTAGCGGAGCCGGCTGTAGACAGCAAACTCTGAACCAGGGCCGCTGGTGCGCATGCACAGCAGGTTGCGGGGACGACCACCAGTAGCCATCTCCCAAACCAGACTCGCCGGTGCGAAAAGCACGGCGTGCTCCTGGCGTAGCGGAGCCTACAGGCCGCCCACCCCGAACCAGGTCCGCCGGTGCGCATGCACGGCGCATCTCCCTGGTGGTGCAGAGGCGACAGTCAGTAGCTATCTCCCGAACCAGTGACGCCGGTGCGCAGAGCACGGCGTTCATCCTGGTGTAGCGGAGGCTACAGCCCGCCAACTCCCGAGCCCCGGCGGTACGGCGCGTATGCGCGTATCCCCGACGGCGTAGTGGAGGCTTTTCAGTACATAGCCGAAGGCCAGACCGAACCGAAGAGGTGGAAGGTGACGACGGATCAACGAGGAGGAGCCCCGGCAACGAGAGCAACAGCGGAAACACCAGCAACGGAGGAGATATCCAGGACGGACACACCAAGGGTCACCAAGGACGCACCAAGGGTCATTCCCGGGAACCCGCATGAATCACAGTTGTAAACAGAGAGAGCAGAAAATAAAGAGACTACGCAACGGAAAGCTACTTGTATTATTTTCTGGGCTTGGGCAATCACGTCGAATCTATAAATTCGGTGGAACGGATCCGCGAAACTCTGTGAGCTAGCCGCGGCAAATTGTGGCGAGCGGAAGCAGAAATAACAGTTCGTTACAAATCTTCTCTTAGTTTTGAGACTGTTGAAAATGTACATTTACATATACGAGCAAAAGTAGCATCAATAAATGTGCATGTTTGTGATTGTATGAGTGTAAGTTAAAACGGAGAAGAGATTGAGTGGTCAAAAGAGAGCACAAAATAACGGGTTGGTTTCACTTCTTTTCTGGCAACGAGTGCGTGCGCAACGCAAAATATTATATAACAATTCTGTTTTATCATTTATATGGATGCGAGTCTAGATAACACTTTATGGTGTTTTTTTTTTATAAACAAACAACAACAAACAACAAACAAAACAACAGAGACTAACAATAACTGTACGAATCTAATTATAAAAATTTAACTAACAGTGTACTAAGACTGCATGATTGTTTGCGTGATTGTTTGCTCACGAAGATGAAGACGTAATTGGTTCGCCTTGTTCGCCAGGAGTTTACAGTGCAACAATAGCTTGGTTAAGAACCTTTCCTTCTCTTCTGCGATCACTTCTTTGACTGGTAGAATGTTTAATTCGCGACGGTGCCCCTGGTGCATTGTCCACCCTTTTATTTTTTATTTTGCCTTAAACCACACACAGCAGTTTCTTTAAGCCTGCAAAATGGTTTCCGGGTGGGTGCCACCGATCGTTATCACCAGCATTTGGGCTTTCATTGGCATCATCTGTCCTTTCTTCGCTCGAGGCCTCAACAAGGGGGTGACTCAGTGCTGCCTTATGCTGACCGCTGTCACCTGCTGGTTGTTCTGGTTCTGCTGTTACATGACCCAGCTGAACTCTCTGATCGGCCCCAAACTCTCCATGAACGAAATCATGATTATGGCCAGGGAGTGGGGGAACCCCATTAAGGACACAATGGATGTCGCCGTTTAATCGTTTTCATATCACCTGTTTTGTTATCGTTTACCTTGAATGCTTTTGCATTCTGTATTATTAGTTTCGATTTAATTGTCGAAGCATAAAATAAATTGTATCAAAGTTATAGAAAACAAAATTATGGTTGCATTGTGTATTTTTAGTTTGAGGTTGTTAAGAGGAGCCCCAATAATTTTTGGAGTTACTCCAATGTGTTTCGCTTGGAAACTGTTTTATTTTTATATAATTCTCTTACAGGAAAGTTACAAAGAAATATGAAAATCCTAAATCTATTTAAAACTAATTATCAACGCACTGCACGCTGACATGCTATGCGACCCTTTCTTGAGTTTGATAAGCGCACCACTTATTTTTTTTGTGTTAGGCTGCAGGAGAAATCTCGTATTGCCATGGGTCCGATTCCTTGAAACTCTATCTTTGAAATTTTGATCTAAAATCGTGTTAAATGCTTGAAAATTCTTCAAAGAGCCACAAAAAAGGCCACATTTTTAATAATGTTATGTTTTATGTTTAAAATAATTATCAAACTTTCTACAAAAGGCTACACAAATTATTTTTTTTTTCGTTTTTTAGATTTAAATACCATGTTAAATGTTAAATGTTGAAGCTTTTGAAAAAAAATACATCCTAAATTATTTTAAACAAAAAGGATACAATTTTTACACAAGAAACTTTGACTCCATTTTTTCGGTACAAAGTACCAGAAATGCACTGACTTGTTATGGGACACACATCAATATTGTCTCATTAATCCTGAATAAAACGAGAGCAATTTCATTTATAAATTAGGAAAATTCTGAAGTTATAACGTTTTTCCCACAACAAGTCAGTGCAATTTTGCCAGCGCTTGGGAGTATCAGTGTGTAAAAGAAAGGGAAAGCGAAATAGAAATTCATCTAAACATCGCCTCAGTTCGTAGTAGAACCCGATGTAAAAATATCTATAAATGGGGGTTCTATGGGATATTGCCAGGCCGTGTAGTGGAATCCGCTGTAAAAATGAAAACATTTAAGAGCGAGTTTCCTGACAAAAGGCAGGCCGATGAGAGAGGGAAAGAGAGCATTTTTTTTTAGAGCGTAACATCTTTGGAACATTGGAATAATGAAACATTGACATTAACCCAAGAAAAAAAGAGTTAGATATATCGTCTACTCAGTGCCGAGTAGGCCCCTTGTTCAAAATCGGATAGAAACGTGTTATTTCTACCGTCACTCTTTTTTTTTATTTATATCATTACTAGATTTTAAATTTGAAGGACAGGAAAAAGATGTTATAGATGTTATAGAGACCATTGTAGGCCAACATTGAACATAATACCATAAAAGGGTCGTGCCGTGCATATGTCGAATTTCAATAGCTAAGGAATAGAGGACTGAAGTTTCTAGTCCTTCTATTAGGAATGTTAAAATTTAAGCGTGTTAGTAAATGCTGGCTGTCTACATCCCCATTAATTTGGTAATGTAAAAAAACTACTCCCAGAATTTTCCTACGATTTAAGCCTCCACTAACTCCAGTAAATTTGTGGTGGTGAAGCGACGCTTAATGAAGCAATGCTGACAAGGAGAGATGATCGAAAAGCAAAAGGGTTGCAAATGAGGAGTAATTAATTTTTGAAATAACTTTGGAATTGCCGACAATTTAGAGATGCCTCTGTTGTTGGTAACATCGGAATTTTTCCCTTTTTTTATGTAAGGGAATTATGAAAGATTCCTTCCAGTTGAAAAGTCTATAAAGAGGTTTGCACAGAGCCCTGGCACAGTATTTTACTGCAGCATCAGTCGGTACCTGTGGTCCGGATTGTTAAATACCCTGTTGGGTGACTCTAACAAGAGGCTCATCCACAAAGACCTATGGTATCACTCGAAGGGATGCCACGAAGGACATATCAGACAATTGCTCATTTGTCCTGAGAAATTCGGCCGACAAATTTTTCTCAGTTCTAGCCCTTGGGGTGGCCAGAGATATGAGCGGCTGCGTGAATGTCGGCTGAGCAGGCTGAGGCGGTTCACAAACAGCGGATTTCTTACGCTTAGGAGACTCTTTTTAGCAGATGAAGGCCACTAAACTAACAGTCAAGCGCCAGAGCTGGTCATTGATTTTACGAAAAGTTCGTGGCGTTGTCGCTGCGTTGGTAAAAAGACAACAAAAAGAAATCGGTTGAATTGTTGGAAACTATTTCTAAATGAACTGCCTTGGACGCAAAACAAACAAATATGGCAATGTAGGACTTATAGATTACTTACTTAACATTATTTAATGTTATTTACTTAACCCTTTCATGCCCGCTTTTGCATATACGCAACATTGTATTTATGAGCCTCTATCTCGCGTATTTTAATTATTTTTGTTTTTATTCTTTCGCAGATGAGATTATACATATTTGTTCGGTAGTCAGCTGCACACGCGTTCAGTTTGTAGCTATTTTCCCGAGAGTGTAGTTGACAAATACATTGTGCAAAAAAAAGTTTGAAAAGTTTGGTTTTTGAAAAGTGTTAAATAAACATTAAAATAATTACTTCATCCTAGTACCAAGTTTAGCAAATTTATGAAAATATTATTTAGTTTGTAATTTGCATAACATATGTTTGCATATACGCAACATCCTGTAGCTCTTGAACCAGGACACCTAGGACATTGAAATTTTTGTCAGTGGATATTGGGGTCAACTCTAGCTTATATGTCTACTTATATGGGCATGAGAGGTTTAACCTGATAATGTTACTTGTAAATAAGCTTTGCAAGTAAATCTTAACATAGGAATATGGAATGCCAATGGGCTTTCCAACCATTTAAATGAAACAACATATTTTAGAAACTCACTTCACTAGCAAATCCTTTTATAGAGTTATTGGATACACAGTAAAAGCTGACCATCCGTCAGATAGAGCTCAATTATTGTGCAATTATTGGAAGTGCCGCAATTATTGTCAAGCACGGCCTTAAATTTAAAATCATGGACAGTACTAGGGAATATGCTATCCGTATGCATGTATGTATGCATGCTGATGTATTAGTAACTGCGATTTCTCCCACAAAGATTCTCAATAAAAGAACTGGACTTTAAAAACTGTTTCTAAGGACTGGGATCAAAGTTCATTATGGGAGGCGACTTCAATGCTAAACATCCATGGTGGGGATCCAGATTGACAAACCCGAAAGGACCGGAGCTATAAAAATGCATACGAAACAATAAAATTACCACATTGTCAACTGGTAAGTCTACATACTGGCCAACAGATAAACGAACAATTCCAGATTTGATTGATTTCGTAATGTTCTCTGGAATTTTACAATCACATATGAGGGTAATGGAAAGCTTCGACCTTAACTGAGACCATTCTCCAATAATAGCAACTTACAGTACAATGGACCATTTGCTGCATAAGCCCTATGAGGTCATTACAGCCTATACAGACATTAAGGCATTTAAAAGCTATTTAGATTCAGCTATAAGCCTTGACATTTCGTTTAAAAATGGAAAGGAGAGGAGATAGACAACGTTTTTGAGCTTTTCACAAATTTAATTCACAAACCGAACTACAGAAACACGAATCATGCTCCTAATCTTCAACAACCAAATCATTTCATTCAACAATTAAAATCAAATCAACTCACTACCCTGCTAACATCTGAGCTATGTCAACTGCTGTCGAACTTACGCAATGAATCTCTAGCTGCGTATCTGAGAATCTTAGACCCTAATTCCTGCAACAACGAATACCACCTATAGAGGGCGACCAAATACCTAAAGAGACCAACTAAAAGAAACTTAAGAATTCGTAATAGCAATGAAACTTGGCGCATGTCTGACAACGACCAAGCGGAAGCATTTGCACAACATCTGCATTCCGTGTTTCAGCCAAACGACATCAATAGTCCAATAACAGAGAATGAAGTAGAAAACTTTCATGAGTCAACCTGTCAAATAAGCTTGCCTATTAAAAGCATCAAGTATGAAGAAGTTGTGACAGAAATCAAATTCTTGAACAAAAAAAAAGCACAAGGCCCTGACAAAATAGACGGCATCCCCCTCAAAACTTTACCACCAAAATGCATTTGATTCTCACTCTCATATTTAATGCTAGAACTCTCATATTTCTCAGACTAGAACACTTCCCAAGTCAATGGAAATGCGCAGAGATCATTATGATCCTAAAGCCACTCAAAACTGAAAAAGAATTGACATCATACCGTCCCATTAGTCTGCTGACAATATTCTCGAAAGTATTTGAAAAAATACTATTGAAGAGAATGTTGCCAAATTTGGACGAATTTTTCATCACTCCCGAATATCAATTTGGATTAAGGAGAGGTCATGAGACACCAGAGCAATGTCACAGGGTCATTCATGAAATAGTATCCGCATTCGGAAACAAAAAATACTGCACTGCTGCATTTATTGATGTACAACAAGCGGTCGATCGAGTCTGGCACAATGGTTTATTTTACAAGATAAAGAACTGGCTACCTGCTCCATACTACTTATTAATCAAGTCATATCTAATCAAGTTATTATTAATCTTATTAATCAAGTTTTTCTTGCGTGCAGCAGAAAAACGACTCATCAGCTCTAGATCGCATTAACGCAGGCATTCCACAAGGAAGCGTACTGGGGCCAATTCTGTACACCCTATTCACTGCTGACATGCCAGGTATAAACACATGCACTGTTGCAACATATGCTAATGATACAGCCGTTTTGGCCACAAAAAGATCCAAAAATAAAGCATCCGAACTCCTGCAGCGTGAGCTAAGCCTAATTGAAAACTGGTTTCTTCGATGGAAAATTAGAATCAACTTCCTAAAATCAGTCCAAGCCACTTTTTCACTAAGACCAGGCAGCTGCCCAAATGTTGCACTTAACGGCTAACGGCTTAACGGCTCATTGAGGCTGGGAACTGCTAGCAACTCGAATATTGAAATTCTTCAGCGTTACCAATCCAAAACGTTGAGACAAATTGTCAATGCTCCATTCTACGTATCTAATGCAACTTTAATAATGATCTAAACATCCCAACCATAAAGAAGAAATAAATAAAATTAGTAAGAAATACCTTGACATACTCCACAATCGCGAAAATAATTTATCCTTAAATCTAGTGGACAATAGCTTAACAG